GATAGAAATTCATAATGTACATTGAATGACGCGTATTTGGACAAATTGTCTTGTATTTTTTCTGTTTGAAACGTGGAGCAAAAAATTCGAAAATAGGGTAATTAATTAGCCTTAAATAAGTCATTTGATCTCAATATATCAAATCGGTGGAAATTCTATGTTTTCAAAAATGGCTCTGCTGAGTCCGGCCGAAGCTAGCAAAGCCACAGATTTTTCTATGATAGAGAGGAGCACGAAAATTGGGAATAGGGTAATAAATTAGCCTAAAATGAGCACTACATTCTCAATATATCAGATATTCAAAAAATATTGTTTTTCAAAAATGGCTTTGCTGAGTTCGGCCGAAGCTAGCAAAGCCACAGATTTTTCTATGATAGGGAGGTGCAAAAAATTCGGGAATGGGGTAATAAATTAGCCAAAAATGAGCCTAAAATTATGAGATGTGTCTCATGTTGAAAATCGAAAGTGGCTTTGCTAGCTTCTTCAGTATAGTAAATTGACAACTTTGTTGCCTTAAATGAGAGAGCAACCGCCTACTTTATATTCATTGACTAGATAAATAAATACACTACACTGTTTCACCACTAACCACTAGTTTTAATCTTACTGAAGTTTTAATCTTCTCCTGAAGATGCTAACATAGTTAGCGAAACACGTGTCGAGGCGTTTAAAAAATCGGTTTGGTTAGTGGTGAAACAGAGTAGTGTATTATCGTGCCAAAGGTTCCAGTCTTCGATATAGATAAATAAATATTTTCACTCGCATTTTCATGTAGGAACACAGAGAGGTACACCTAATTGAGATTCAGCTAGATAGTTACAAAGATTATACCTCGGATTATACACAATAGGTAGGTATTCGTCGAGATATTCGTGTGGTGGCAATCAGAAAACTGACGGTGTGTACTTAGTATACATACATATTAATTATTATGTTTCGGAAATAATGACCTTTGGTCTCTGCACCGAAGTCTAGACCTTGTCCTTCGTTTCCATAAAGCTATCGTTTTTCATTAAAAAGTACCTTGTTAATTCAGCTGTATTATTATGATAAGGAAAAATATAGACACAATTTGGAAAGTGGTTCTCAAATGGCATTGAATAAGGTACATTAAAACTGAATTACTTTTTTGTATCTCTAATTTTGAGATTCTCTCTTCTCGTTACTATAAATGGAGATATGAATAATATTTCAATATACTTCTAGTAAAGATACAATAAATCAAACAATTCGCTCAAGAATTCTCGCCAAAATGTCACTGCGTTCAAAATAGTCACTATTAGGAAACCTCGAGGGAAACCTAAAAGGGATGTCATCGATTTTTCTTGGAATCATATTATCCATACAGGGTGGCACTGAAATAAGTGCAAATATTTCAAACACTGAGAATGCTCGACGTGTACTATCGAATGGCACTAAAAATAAAAAAAAATTGGGATCAAAATAAAGTTTGAGGTTACACCCCTTTTTCCACCCAAAGTTCTACACAAGAACCTATATGCATTAAAAACGCAATATTCAACTTCTCAAGATTAGGGTTAAATTAAAATCTAGCTGAATTAAGTCGTGCATAAATCCACATTTTCCAAAAATTCCGATGAGAGGCAAAACTTTTCAAATTTCCTCGATCTTCTTCTCAGCCTTCTTCCAATTTCCTGGAACATTCTCGAACGTCTTGAACGATCGAATATCCCTGGAACTCCACAACCTCGTCCACAAACTTCCTACTTTGAAAATGTAAAATCTCGTAATACGAAGAAAACAGAATCTTACCATAGGAGGAGCATCATGATAGAATCACTGGGCCATCACAAAGCATCGACTCGAGATAGTACACAGTGAAAAATTTCCGGGTGTAATTTCAACCGAGTGGATTTCAGAAATAACTCCGATTGAATCAACACTTGATTAGCAATTTCATACCAATATAATTAGAAATTTGATAATACCGTGTACAGTGGTGTTAATTCACACAGTCATAGTGAAAAATTACACGGATGTGGTAATTCAGAGGAGTTCTGAAATATCCATTCGAGAGAAACACCAACAGGATGAAAAGTAATTACTTTCGATAGTGGTATCATCCAAGTTAACGCAAAAAATGCACTTATTATATAAAATTATCACCTAGTTACACCCTCACCAATCACAAACAAATCAGAACCGTGTATGAATTATGAGATTTGTGGCATCATCGTCTTGCATTCTCCCATGTGAATAAATAATGTTTGCTGATTATGAAATTACCCACTGAAAAACTTGAACTCATTGAAGAATGGATGGACATTGTGTAGGTATATCATCATCCAAGAATCTTGGTATCCAGATTGATAAGTGACAATAAGAACGGATGATTTCGTGAAAATAATGCATTAAATAAATTTTAAGCTGATTCATAAATTATATATGATGATTTTTATATTGCGAAGCGATATAGAGTACTTATATCGAACCAGATTGAACATAAAATTGAATATCAAAGTAGAAATTTTGTTCACAGAAAAATATTTAGTTAATTTCTTGATAGATGGTGATACTAGCGCTCCTTCGACGCACGTTTCTCGACAGCCTACAAATAGTATCAGCTCAGAGATGTTTTGTAAGTCACAATTCTCACTACATTGGATCGTTTTATACACTGAATACTAATGTTAGTATATCAGAGTCGTGTTATTCAACACTCAGATGCATACAAGAAAACACTGCTTCTCAGCGTGATAACACTCGATAAGTGTGTTTTCACAACAGAAGAATATTTGACAAATATTCACATATTATCATAATATCATCAGTAAAAGCAAAAACGCAACAGATACAGTGTCAAAATAATCACCAAATGATTGTACAGTCACCACTCTGGTGTTGAATAACATGAATCGATCAAATTAGCTCTAGATACTCTAGTGTAGTTCTTGACTGTATCTAAGAACGAATGACACCCTATGATGGTGTTAAATATATCAGAGTTAATTCCCACTAAAATGATCAGGACCTCAGGGGACACCCAAGGGTGTTAGCTGGTGTGAACTGGTGTAATTTTTTTTTCACTGTGTACTGTGTGTACAACGTTGTATTCACCGAGAGTGCTGGTCCCTCCATATATTATTCCCTGATAGCTGATATCCTCGCAGATATCCATGATCATATCAATCTAGCTAATGTCAACCGAGGCTTCCCCCGAGGCTTCCCCCATCCCATCACACCATATATGGAGACCTCGATGGAGATGAAATGACAGTTTCTGTCATGTCATCGGCTCGCATATACCCACATAAGTATAAGAATCGTATAAGAATGTGTTCCGATGCGAAGAGGTCAATAGCATACAAAAGTGATATTATTCCTTGTATTATTCTGACTAACCATCAGATTACGAGCTACAAAGGTTTCCCCGAGCTTCGAGTTTCCCTTACCAGTGACCATTATACGTGCTAACGAGATACAAAGGCTCTCCGATCAAAATACAACACACAATATATTAATATATTATTATTGCAATTCGGTCTGGAGATTAATCCCAACTCGTTAGCGTATTCCCGATTTCTACCTGATATGGTTATAAGAACGAAAATACGGTACCTACAGGGTGTATCGAATATTTATTGATAATAAAACAATAATGGTGAAATAATATAGCTTTACACTACAAACTTCGTTCCTTGGGATATCCTTGTTCCTTTCAGTGAAAATTGCCATTCACATGGGTTCAAAGTTTCTTGGCAAGTAGGCAATGGAATTTTAACAGCCTACTATTCACATTTTCACGCCAATTTTATAGTTTTCTCAGTCGTTTAGGTCGTTTATTGATATAGAACTTAAATCATTGAACTATACATATACAATCATATTGCCTACTTTATATTGTAGGTAGGTAATAACTAATTACCACCTATTTACCTATTTCATATTTTTCAATCTAATTTCTATAGGTTTTCATCAATTTTTCGTTGCAAACGATTATGACAAAATTATCAAGAATGTACCTAGGTGCTTATTACCTACTGTCACAGATACCACAGCAGATACTTTCTTAGTAATTTAGGATTCAATCTCGGATTCATTCCACGTTTACCTACCTAGGTATAGGTGCTCATAATAATATATGAAATGAACAATGAAATGAATACTCATCTGCAGATATTTCTGCTTAGGTAGGTAAATACCTTCTTAAGTACGTAGGTTCAGTAGAAGACTGATTTAACCTGACCTACCTACCTGTTTCTCTTGTCTCCTTTCTCAGGTGAAAATTCAAACACTCTGCCAGTGATTAGTCAAAGATTGTTAATATGCTGAACCAACAATTACCTACCGTTCATGCAAGTTTAGTGAGGAACTTCTGTGGTACAATTCTGTCGCCTCCCTAGTATACTTTTATTATTCATTAGCGAAAACGAGACAAAAAAAAATAAACTTACCATCCTTCACATTCTTGGCCTGAGTGCTGGAAGCTGCACTACAATGGCTTTTGTCAACTGTACAATACATAATAACACACTTTTCACTACTTTTGAAGTCACTCTCACCGGAATAAAATATTCATAATTAGTAAAGAAAATAATAATTGTTCACACGTACTATTATCTATAATACGAGAGGACACTGACACTGTCAAATTTCAGCAGCCATTACGCCATTACTATTATTGTTTATATTGCATATTGCAGATGGCGCGAACGTCTCTGTTCTGTTTCTGTTCCGACAGTGCACTTTTACTATTCCGGGCACAAAATAATGGTCTGTTCAGTTGCTTTGTGGTTATCCACGTTATGCATTTTGAAACCTAAATAAAAACAGACCTTGCTCAATTCTGGAATCCCAACAGAGCATTGACCGCTGATTTAATTTGATTTGACCTATTACGTCACAGTCATTATATATCTGTGGACCAAATCCACATAACCGCACAAGTTATGTGGTTGCAGCAAAAATATGTTGGCTGCATTGTCACATACGTCATTGAAACGTCACGATTGTCACGAAAGTAAACATATGTTTTTGACACATCAACAGCTGCTTGCTTCTTGGGTTTTGAGGTTATATTTTTGAAAATGTCTACGTGTGATATTACCGATAAATTCATTTATATATTTCTAGATTCATAATTTCAATTTTTCATTTTTATGTCGAGATGACTTCAAAGCGTGGGATGTTGAACCCAGAGCCAATAAAGCAAAAAATTAGTATATTATGTTTAGATATCAGTGATTTCAACAAAACAGTGCAATTTGCATTATGCACAGGTGCAGTGTTCCTCTTTTTTCTTCTGTATGGGTACATGCAAGAACTATTATTTACCATAGATGGTTTTCAAGCATATGGGTGGTATTTGACATTAGTTCAATTCGGATTTTACAGTGTTTTTGGCCTTGTTGAGACTAAAGTAAGATCAGTGGGTGCAAGAAAGTGAGTTACTGGTAAATCGATTTGACCAACAGCCCACAGAAATGAATGAAATGCAAAAATGTCATTGTGTTTCAGGATACCAATGCAAACATATTTTTTATTGGCTGTGTTAACATTAGGAACCATGGGTTTTTCAAATGCCTCTCTTGGTTACTTGAACTACCCCACACAAGTAATATTTAAATGCTGCAAGCTGATCCCTGTCTTGGCAGGAGGAATTTTGATCCAAGGAAAACGGTATGGGCCATTGGATTTCATTGCTGCTGTTTTAATGTGTTTTGGACTAACCTTGTTTACATTGGGTTGGTATGGATTAAGATTTCAAATAACAGTGTAATTGTCTGAGCCATTCAATCTCTTATTCAATGTTTTGTCCTCTTGGGAGTTATTTTTTATACTTGCATGCTCTGCCTGTTTATTTTGCTTGTATTCAAATGAATTCTGGATTTTAACATACAGTATATTTACAAGCCTGAAAATAATGATGAATGAAAAATGTTTTTTTTTTCAGCTGACTCTCAAGTACAACCAAATTTTAACACTAAAGGCATAACCATGATATCACTAGCTCTGTTGTGTGATGCTATTATTGGTAATGTCCAAGAAAAATCAATGAAAAACTATGGAGCTGCCAATGCAGAAGTGGTCCTTTATTCCTACTCTTTGGGATTTCTGTATATCTTTGTGGTAATGATATGTACTGGGGATTTTGTAGATGGACTTCAATTTTTTGCTCAGGTACAATAGTTATTCTCAAATGAAAGCATAGGCAGTGAATATAATTATGTTGGTAGACTATATATGGGGTGAACCAGAACCAAATTACCCCCCTTCTTTGCTGGTTTGTGTGGATTTTCAAAATTTGGTGCATCAATAATATCAATATGATTTAATGTATTTATAATTTGGCTATAGTATCAGACCAATTAGGACACTTCCGGTTTGACCAGAAGTGCATCCAATTTTTTTGTTCAAATAAAAAGTATAACTTTTTCCTGGTAATTATGAATCAGTAAAAAAATACCTTTCTAATGATATATCACAATCATAACTTCAATTTACATTCTACTCTTATAATTGAGATTTTATAAAAAAAATAAAAAATTGGAAAAAAGAAAGATAGTACACTAATAGTGAATTATTTCCAGTCATTTTATTGATTATAGATGACCCGGCAAACATTGTTTCAAGAGGTAAATTCGAGGGGGAAATAACTACTTAAAATATGTACACCATATTTGAATATCTGGCAATTAAAAAGTACTTAAAATACTCAAAATTGGTACTTAAGGTACTCAAACAGGTACTTAAATTGATAATTTTAGTACTGAAGTAAATACTTGAGAGCTTATTAAATTGTACTTAATGTATAAAAAATGTTACTTAAGGCACTTAAAATTTTATGGTGTACACTTATTTGAAGAGTTGTTTCCCCTTCCGGTTAATCACTTGGTTGTTTTGCTATGTACATTATTTTTAGAAAATATTTTTTCCGTTGAATATTCAACAACACACTTTTGTTATTTTATTTTCTACTTCTGTTTAGTTCAACTGACCATAAAAGCTTGTTTTCTTAGTTTTTCAAACATATCTATTTTCTATGTCTTTTCAGTTTGGTAATCTGTCTTTTCAGTTTTCTAAACTACTATTTATTTTCTACTTCCTCTTAATTTGGCTATCTATATGGAAGAGTTTTTTATTATATTTTTTCAAACAACAAAGCTCGTTCCACAAATTGAATCCAACTTGAATTTTCTAATTATGATGGAGGAATCATAATCTCCGACCCCAAAAATCCTCAAACACCAATAATGAATAGAATCGGATCATAATTAATAAACTCATATGCCCTATTGGATCTGTCATGTTGAATTTCCAAAATTTGACTAAAGAATCATGATCTTCGATCCCGGAAATACCCAAATACTTACCAACTTCAAACAGAAGCGGATCATATTTACAAAAGTCATCCGCGATATTGGATCCGACATTTTGAATTCTCAAATTTTCAGGAAAGAATCATAATCTTCCCTACCAAAAGCCTCCAGATACCAATTTTGAATAGCATCCGATCATATAATTACAAAACTCGAACGCCATATTGGATCCGCGCAATCTTGAATTTTCAAATTTTAAGGAAAAAATCATAATCTCCGAACTCGAAAACCACCAGATACCAATTTTGAATAGAATCGAATTATAATTACAAAACTCGTCGCCTTATTGGATGTGCCTTCTTGAACTTTCAAATTTTGACGAAATACTCATAATTTTTGTCTCCAAAAACCTTCAGATACCTACCAATTTTGAATAGAATCGGATCATAATTGAAAAACTCGTCCGCCATATTGGATCCGCCATTTTGAATTTCCTAATTGTGTCGAAAGAATCATAATCTCCAACTCCGAAAAGCCCCAGATAACAATTTTGAATAAAATCGAATGACAAAACTCGTCCCCAATATTGGATCCGTGATTTGGATCTCCGACCCCAAAAACCTCAGATACAAATTTTGATAGGAATCGGATCATTTTAGTTTTCTGAAATACTAAGTATTAATTTTCTACTTCTTTTCAGTTTGGCTTTCTATATGAAAGCGTCTTTTATTATAGTTTTTCGAAACATTATTTATTACAAAAGCTCGTTCGATATATAGAATTCGTCATCTTGAATTTTCTAATTGTGACAGAGGAATCATAATCTCCGACCCCGAAAACCCTCAGATACAAAATTTAAAATAGAATCGGATCATAATAAGAAAACTCGTGCGCCATATTGGATTTGCTATTTCGAATTTCCTAATTTTGTCAATAAAATCATAATCTCCTACTCTGAAAACTCCCAGATACCAATTTTGAATAACATCGAATTACAAAACTCGTCCCCCATATTGGATCCGTCATTTGGATATTCAATTTGAAAAATAGTTCATTTTTCACTTGTCCATTGCTGCTTTATAATACCTTGGCAACGGCAACTATTACGAGGGATGAATAAGGGAGAAGGGTACGTTCTCGCGAGAGGTCTCCGGAAAGTCTCGCAGAAATGGCAGATGCATTAGTGGAAGAATGGGATCGTATACGAATGGAAACGATAAGCAACTTAATTTCCAGTATGCCTCGTAGATTAGAAGTTCTTAGAGTTGCTAGAGGAGGCAATACACGGTATTAAGCAGTCATCCCAATTTAAAATTTTGTGTTTAATAAATTTAAAATTATTGGTATCAGTTTATTTCATTAGAAAATTGTTTCTCGATAAATTCAGAAAGTTGGTAATCTGCAAGGATTCAGCAAAAAAAGCTGTAATTCGGAAAATTTTAGAGATAAATCAATGAATAAGAAAACAAAATGCTCGCAAATGGATCCTCTTTCGTATAGGGTACGAGCACTTTCTATGCCATTACTCAATTAACACACAGGGTGAGTCAAAAATTAAGAATAAATCATGGTTCGAGTTACTCCACCACCATCAAGGAGGCTTTGAAAAAATTCTCTCCTCTTTATTTTTTTTTAAGACAATTTTTTTTTAAGAAGATAGGTCAAATATCAAGTGCCTCCCTTTTTTTGGAACTGAGTGTATGTCATAAAATATATTATAACAAGAGTCAGTTCCACAAATTTACACTTATGTAAACTAACAAATGAAAATAGTTTTTCCTGTTCTTTTCAGAATCCGAGAAAAACTTATGGATATGCTTTTATTTTCTCTATTACTGGGTATCTGGGCATTCAGGTCGTGTTAACACTGGTTAGGACTACTGGTGCATTCGCAGCCGTTACTGTAACAACTTGTAGGAAAGCTGTCACGATAGTTATATCGTTTTTATTCTTCAGTAAACCATTCACCTTTCAGTAAGTATGAAAATCAATTAAACAAATTTTGTTTGCATCGAAATTTTTCTTCAATTTTGCTACTGGCAAACTAAAACGGAAAGGCTTTCATTAATTTCATTCCAAATATAATGAATGAAGTGTTCAATTCTTGAAATCAAATGTAACATTCGAACTATTATTACAATTGTTCGTCTTAGCATCAGGTATGCTTTTTGAGGACCACCTTGTAATCCATAGTAAACGTTATTATGCCCTATTATAAGTTTCAAACCACTCTCAGAATCAGAAAATTTGTAAATTTCAGTCCATAGATAGGACATAAAAAAATTACAAAATACGTTCATTTAAGCAGGAACCCTTCCAAGTTTTAAAAATATTGCACAGTATTTTGTATCATCCTGTAGTATCTCATTCTGAGATGCAGCAACAAATTAACTGAAAAGAAATCGAAAATCGGTGGTTCAAAGCAGAAGTTACAAAAATTCTAACTCATTAAAAAAATCCATTTTACATTTCGAATGTGGAGCAGTTTATTTTGAAAAAAACTATTTTTTTCCGAATTCAAATAATTCAAACAAATCCATAGCGTCCACAAATGATATTGAATGATAATAAAATTGTATTGTTTTTGTTTGTTTTCAGGTATCTATGGTCTGGTTTGTTAGTTGTTTTAGGAATCTACTTGAATTTACTTAGCAAAAAACATCCATTCACAATGGCAGAATTGGAATACAAAATAGAAGCATTCCTTAGGTTTTGCAGATCGAAATTTATCGCCAGCAGATACAAGAATGGTCAATATTTGACGAACGTATGAGACAACGGATTTTTTCTAAGCAAGAATGAGATCTCAAAAAGAACAATGCATTTATAGTCATTTTCATCCAAATGAATTTTGGAAATTCGAAGATTTCTACATTTGTGGTTTATGCACTTGAATGGTATTATGGCTGCCATTCCAAGTGTATAGGTGGAACAAATTCACTTTGGAAGTTCAGGAAACAAAATTTGGGAAAATTCTAAAACATGTCCATTGAAAATCCAAGATTCAGTTTAAATTTTGGAAATATTAGTGGTGGAATTCTTCAAAGTTGATTTTATGATTGATTTTGAAAATCAAATACATTTTCGGTACAATAGTTCGGAACTATAGTGAAGAAACAAATGGGAAAAATCATTCCACAAAAAACACCACACTAATTTTGAACTCTAGCGTCTAGTCATTCATGACCAATTTATGAAGTTCCTACCTATGGCCCTAAAATTCAGATATTTCAAATAAGATTAGAAAAAAATTGAACACACCAGATTGGTCTTAAATCATACATTTGTGTTACATTGGTTTCATATACAGTGTGTCCACCTTAAGGACTTACCACCCCTGTAAAATCGTTATTATCCGACCAATTTCAAGAAACTTTTTTTCGTTGGATAGGTATTTGAAATGCCCATCCAAGGAGAGAGTGATCTAATTCTTGGACTGTTATCGTGGCCAACTGCGACAAATTTCAATGACCCATATTCCAGAAAGTACTATTAGGGATTTTTTTCCACAAAACTTGATGATGGATTCTGAATCAGTACCACTTGAAATATACCTGTACCGATTTTCATCATCATAAAACACAGGGTGTCCGAAAAAACGAATCATCATTTTCTTCAAATAGGTGATCAGCAAATCTAGTTCTGTGGTTTTTCTAGAGAGAAATAATCACAAATTATCATTGAGAATTATTTCAAATATACATGTACCAATTTTCGTTATTTGAATATACAATGTGTCTGAGAAAAACATTAAAAAGGATAGGGAAGCAATATTTTTCGTCCTGATAATTCTTCACTCAAAATAAAAAGATGAATCAGGATCACTTGGAACATACCTGTACCGATTTTCATCATCATTAAACACAGGGTGTTCGAAAAATCAAATTAATATATTTTTTTAGTTGATGAAAAAATATTGCCTACTTTTTCTTTTTACTTGTTTTCTCATACACATCGTATTTTTGAATAATGAAAATCGGTACAGATATGTTCAAAGTGATCCTCAATAATAATGTGTCATCAATTCTTCTCAAAAATACCACAATACTACATTTTCTGATCACCTATTAAAAAAAAACATAATTCGTTTTTTTGGACACCCTGTGTTTTATGATGATAAAAATCATTAAAGGTGTTTTTCAAGTGATCGTGATTCAGAATCCATCATTGTTTTTTGTGAAAAAAAATCCCTAATAGTACTTTCTCAAATATGGGTCAATAAAGTTGGTCGCAGTTGGCCACGATTACAGTTCATGAGTAAAATCACTCTCTTGTTGGATGGACATTTCAAACACCTATCCAACAAAAAAAAGTTTTTTGAAATCGGTCAGATAATAACAATTTTACAGGGGTGGTAAGTCCTTAAGGTGGACACACTGTATATACTCGGTGGCCTATTTGAGGCTACTCCATCAGAAAAATAAACTGCAATTTTCGAACTTTTTCAACATTTGGAACTTTAGGTTTACATTAAATGAAATTTTGGTATTGTGAAGAATTTTCCAAAAGTTCTGCAGAATCAAATAATTCCTGAAAAGTCCCGAAGAATTCAATGAATCTGTAACCTTGATTTTTTTTTCTTTATCTGTGATTATTTTTCTGAATAATTGACTTTTAATATTTCGTTGGAAAACTGTTCCATTGTGATGCAATTGGTTGCAATTTGAAATTCAGTATTTTCACCAAAGCTCTGAAGGTTTTTTGGAAGTATTGTAAAATTTTCTAATGGCTATAGTGACTTACCTTCAGACCTATTTTTTTTATACACATGAGTAAATTCTCTTGAAGTTCGTGCCATACTTTAATTCACACTCTTTATACTACTACTGTTAGATAAATAAAAATTAAGAGTAGCACAATATTTTATTCATTACTATATGTACAAAAGTTTCAATACATAATATTTATGATCGTTTCATAAAAATCATGAAACCCTATATGGCTTTATTGTAAAATAAAGATACATTTTTTTTTCAATACACTTCGTGGCTATTACTCTTCTACCATTTTAATGGACCAAAAAACATGTATCACTAAAAACTCACACGTTTTCTACTCAATTAGATTCATAAAAAAACGATGTTTTCATATAGAGGGTGACCCACTTGAAAATTAAACTTGTATTCATTTTCCGAATTTCACAAGAAAAATTTGAACAAATAGCTGAAATACTAGTCCAGGAAGAAGTGAACATTCAAATAATCTTTAGCGGTTTGTGAAAGAAACTACTTTATGTGACTAATTTTTCAACTTTTCATCATTTTGGTGTGCTGCCGCAAAATTTCATGGGCTGAAGAATTCGGGACACATATTTTTCTTTGGTTTTTGCGCAAAAATACTTCACTTTCATCTGAAGTAGTTATTCATAGCCTTCAATTAACATTATTAAAATTGTCGAAATCCAATGATGAATAAAGATTTTAGTGGGTCACACTATACATGAAGATACAGCTCCTGTAACCTTGTGGTTTTTCATACTCATATGGTATATGGCCCAATGTTTGTACACAGTTTATTGCACAGAAAAAATGAAGCATGCAAGAAAATACCAAATATAAAAGAGATCTCTGGTGTTGAGTTGGCGGGAATTCGGTCGAAATGTTGAAGAAAACCAATTTTTAAAATGTCGACGTTTCGAAACTTTATTGTTTCATCTTCAGGACACTGAAGTAAAAACAAGAACATACATATTAAAATGATATTTCAAAATGAGGGGTTTTGATAAAAGCAAAATAAGTTATGTGAAATAACAATCGTTGAAAATAAAACACTTCTCACACTTTACAGAAAACAACATTGATAGATACTTACATTTAGGGTGGTTTTCCGGGTTTAAACTATTCACTATTTTTAAACCCGGAAAGCCACCCTAAATGTAAGTATCTATCAATGTTGTTTTCTGTAAAGTGTGAGAAGTGTTTTATTTTCAACGATTGTTATTTCACATAACTTATTTTGCTTTTATCAAAACCCCTTGTTCTTGTTTTTACTTCAGTGTCCTGAAGATGAAACAATAAAGTTTCGAAACGTCGACAATTTAAAAATTGGTTTTCTTCAACATTTCGACCGAATTCCCGCCAACTCAACACCAGAAATCATATTCAACGGTCGCCATTCTATTCAACTATAAAAGAGATCGTTCGAAATTGAATCAAAAGGAAATCTGAGATCACAAAAAATTATAGTGGTATGAAATTGGTAGGTTATTATTAGTAAGTAAACTTATTGATCATGGAAAATTAACCTATTTTTCACATTTTGCATCCACTAGAGAAACATGTTTTTGGACTGATTGAATGGAATGTATTCCTCAACAAAAAAGCTAATGGGTTTCTTTGGATTTTTTTTCAATTTTCAAGGTCAATTCAGATGATTTCACAATTAGAAAAGCAAAAAAGAAATTCAAGCTATATTCAGTGACACCTTATTTTGTTTTAATGATAATGACACTGGTTCAAATGACCGAAAAAAAAAACACAAAATATCGCCTTCAGTATTGTTTTTCTCTCTCAACCTATGAGGTATGTACCCTTGAATTTTCCAATAGTGATGGAAACATATAGCAACAATTAACTAGATTTGCATTAAATTTAATATTAGAGGAGTTTTTTCCTTCATTTCATTCAATTTGAACAAGATCATTTCTGATATGATGAAATATCAGCTTTATAGAAAAGAAATGCATCATCCCAAAATCATTAACAGAAAGACATAAAAAGTGAAGTTTTTTCATTCTCAATTTGATTGTTCAAAATACAAAGTAAAATACTTTATTCAATTAGAACTATAAGAAAAACTAATAGACCTTCCAAAATCTTATGATTTGTCCTTTTTCTCAGTATTCTTCTTGTTTATAGTTTACTTTCATCAGGTAAAATGTACTGAATTCTGTAGCAACACAAATAATAACTCTTTCCATTTGAAAAATAAATAGAAACAAATTACATTTGTAATGATTATTTCCAAAATTTACTCGTGTTTTTTTCAAAAATACAAAAGGTAAAGAGATTCTCTTTATTTTAATACTTTTCCGCAAGACACAATTTGTTTGTCATCTCCACATTAATTGCCTTGAGAACAAGCCAAAATTTTCAGTTGGATTCAATTAATCAATTTCAGACGAGCATTCCGATTATCCTCACATTCAATCAAAACCGTAGACTTTGTATCGAACTAAACACCCTGTATATCCTACATCCACCAACTTCTCATACGAGAATATCCATTTTTCTTATATTTGGTATTTCACAGGAAAACAATTACTAAAGGCTAATACTCAGTAACACACACTCACAAATATACATAAAAAGTCCCTACAGCGCATAATATAGTGAGAGAAAAAAATGCGAAAATGTTCCGGGAAACATATTGGTCCACGCCTAATAAATTCTCATCGTTTTCAGCGTAAAAAAGTTTTCGGGGGTACAAAAAGTCGTTTATAAAAAGTTAAATTCTGGAATAGGACACTTGAATCCGAACCCTTTGTACTTATCCTAGCTATCGTCGTACGTGGTTCAGTTATCAGTTAGAAAATAATATATCACTAGATTTAAGAAAGATAAACAGAGAAATTCAACTAGCTTTGAGAAAGAAAATCTGTATTTCATACTGTCTTCGTCTTCAGGACTCCAAAATAATGTTGGTTGCAAATCATGTTTTTCTGTTATTGTCATATCACATCGTTGACAAATATTAATGTTCTCAAAATGAATGTTTCATGACTCGGCTGCGTTTTTATCAAGGAAACTTTGGTGTAAATATCAACCTCAGAATCTGCCCCAGGTGTTAACTGTAATCATGGTGAATTCATGCATGACGTAACTTAGTCCTCACTTAACTTAACCCTAACTTTGAGAAGTTGAAATTTGAATAATCGATGATAACGTTCAAGTTGGCCAACTTTCAACTTAATTCACATTTATTCGCAAATCGCGTACTGCGCATGGTCAAGCATTGATGCCAACAGAAATTGTAAATAGTTAGGTTTAATAATCCATAACCTCAAACACTCTGCTCAACCTTTCAACTAATTTTTCAAAATGTTTAAAATATTGTTATTTTGTTTATAACATTATGGTTGACGACAGTGAACTCATCAGCATTTACAACGAAACAGATCCCAAATACATGATTCTGCACATGCGTAAATATTCACGTTAAGTTGTGTATGAACAACTATGGATAATTTTCAAGGCAATATTAAGCTAGGTCTTAAGTTAAGACTAAGTCAAGTCGTGCATGAATTCACCATCAGTGGTTTTATATTGAGCTCTTTTCTACCTTGAACGAGAAAGAGGAAAGTTCTTCCATCTTCCTCTTCAATGCTACTAACGTGGCCGCATCGAAACAGTAGAGTAGGCCCTGATCGAAATATAGAGAGATCCGATAACCCTTGTCTAACATCTAGTCTATGCCACTGAACTATTTTCGATGTTATATGTCAAAGTCATATAATATCATTGACTGATAACCTTTCGAATATTCGTAATAAAATTTAAGGTAAAACTGCATTTATCATGCGATGGTTTTTTTTTTCGAAAATTTTGTTTGGTACCTACGTATTTTTGTCTGAAAAACACGGATTCGATAATGAAAATGTGACCAAACCACAAATTATTCGAGATATTTCAAGAAAAAGTTCGAAATTTCGCCTTCTTTTTCCCCTTGTGTTGGATGCATTTACAGCTACTCGCTCTTCTTATTTTGTCATTGGACACTTTATACAGGGTAACTCACGGTCGATGGTACGTTAGACGTTTATGGAGAACGGGACATAGGATCATTCTGAAATTTTGGTTACTCACGTAGTTGCTCTTGGTCTATCGATCTAGAATATTTTCAGCTCTGCGGCGTTGCCGCTTCTATCGAAAAGTAGCAACAACTTTGTTATTTTAAATGGAACACCCTGTATTTTATTGCATTTTCAGATTCTCTCTGAAGAGCTGATTTCATCGATGTATCACACTTGGGGTCTAGCGGAAATGATTACAGAGATATAGGGTGTGAAAAATCGACATTTTCAATGTTAGGAATTTTTTTTGTCGAAACTATTCATTATTGGTCAAAACGGCTTACATGTCCCTATCTCAACTTTTGATAAATTATCTACTGATATTTAATTGGGACATATACCGGGTGATCAAGATTCTGAATTCTTCACCACCCTGTATTTGTTTCAATTAAATGTCAGTAGATAGATGATCAAAAGTTGAGATAGGGACATGTGAGCCGTTTTGACCAATAATGAATAGTTTCGACAAAAAAAATTCCTAAAGTTGAAAAATTTCGATTTTTCACACCCTATATCTCTGTAATCATTTCCGCTAGACCCCAAGTGTGATACATCGATGAAATCAGCTCTTCAGAGAGAATCTGAAAATGCAATAAAATACAGAGGGTTCCGTTTAAAATAACAAAGTTGTTGCTACTTTTCGATAGAAGCGGCAACGCCGCAGAGCTGAAAATATTTTAGATCGATAGACCAAGAGCAACTACGTGAGTAACCAAAATTTCAGAATGATCCTATGCGTTCTCCATAAACGTCTAACGTATCATCGACTGTGAGTTACCCTGTATACTCATGATGTACTTCAATGACACATTTTTATATAGAAAATTCAACAGGAAATATGATTTTTAAGGCGAGTTCTTCATATTTAGTGAACAAGTATACCAGAGATGACGGCCAATTAATCAATAGTCAATCCAAATACGAGATATCAAATGTCAACAGATCTCTTTTGAATGACATTATACACGCCATTATTTTAAATTATATTTTTTTCAAGGCTTTATTCAAATAGTTCACAATCTGATCTTAATTATTGTTAATTTAGTACATAACTTTTTTCGATG